CTCATCAATTCTCACCTCTCTCCAGGGCACCCTTGTCCCCATCCAAGCGTTTAGGGTTTAGGGTTTAGGGTTTAGGGTTTAGGGTTTAGGGTTTAGGGTTTAGGGTTTAGGGTTTAGGGTTTAGGGTTTAGGGTTTAGGGTTAGGGTTTAGGGTTTAGGGTTTAGGGTTTAGGGTTACCCTAACCACAGTCAAAGTAGTAGTATTAGTGGGGAGAGGTTGGGGATGAAAACGGGTGTGAGAAAGCTGTGAGTAGCAGCAAGTAAGCCTCCTGGTTAAAGAGTCATGCTTCCGTTTAAGGACCCTAAACCCTAAACCCTAAACCCTAAACCCTAAACCCTAAACCCTAAACCCTAAAAAGTGTGTACGGTTAAAGCGCCGCTGGCTACTACTACTACTACTACTGCTGCTGCTGCTGCTACTACTACTACTACTACTACTACTACTACTACTACTACTACTACTACTACTACTACTACTACTACTACTACTGCTCCTACTGCTACTGCTACTGCTACTGCTATTGCTACTCCCAATAATAATCACGAAAACAAAAATAAGAATACCCTGTTTACAATAAGTGTAGTAATAGCTGCAATACTGCTACCCCACCACCTAATCACTACTACCAGCTCCAGTATCATCACCACCTCTACCACCACCACGACCTCTACTACATGCTACGACCTGAGCTGCCACGAAATTCGGGAACCAACCTCGGGAAACGCCATGGTCGAATCTTGACGCCAAAGCTCGGAGAACGCGAAAAAATTGGAAAGCGAGTTCGGGAGGCGTAGGACTCTGAACCCTAAACCTATGGGTTTAGGGTTTAGGGTTAAGGGGTTTAGGGTTCAATGGCTTCGGGCTTGCTAGGACTGCTAGGAGCCACTGGGTTAGGGGCTGCCTGCGACGTATATGAAGGTTGCGGGAGTGCTTGGGGTTGGCAGCCTGCAAGTTCAGGGAAAGACAAATACCGCCAAAAAAAGGCCAAAACTACACACCAAAGCCGCATCCTAATCCTGAGGCTCCAAGAACTCTTATGAATGGGATTTTTGGGGCCCAAAGGCGTTGTTAGATGAGGTTTTTGGGCTATTTTGAGCCTAAGGGGTTTACGGTTCAGGGCTGAGAGTTTCTAGGGTCTGCCAGATATGAGGTATTTGATAGTGGGTTGAATATGCCCAAAACCAAACCCTATACCCTACTTCGGAGTAGACCCTGGAAAAAAAAGTACATACTTGTTAGGTGCCCAAAACCAAACCCCCAAACCTAACCCCCTGCAAGCAATCTTTAAAGCTTCAAACCCTACAATCAGAAGCTATAGACCCTAAAACCTAAAGCCGAAACCCTAATAAGGTTCTTGAGGGGTAGGTACCTATAGAGAACCTTAGGCAAGCTGACACAGCCTTAGGGGGTACGTAGTGGGGACTATTAGGGAACCTTGGGTTACATTCCCCACCCCCCCCGCTCCCTTAAGAACCCTGCAATGGGTGCCCGGTTGGACTCTGCTGCTATGTATTCCTTGTAGTCTCACCAAGATAACCGCTAAAATACCGCGCAAGACCCTTAACTTAGGGTCCAGCCGTCGAAGAAAAGGGGCATGAAGTGGATGTAGTCCAACTTGTCCATGGGCGCCTTCCACCTGGCAACGGATTGACCCTAAATCCTATACCCTACAAACCCTAAACCCTAAACCCTAAACCCAAAACCCGAACCCTGGACGTGACGTACAACTACTACAACTACAGGTCCTCAGAGGATCGGTTGAACCTGCGGGGCTTCCCTGCGTACCTGGACCCCCGGAGATCGCATGTAAGGACGACCTCATCCGCACCATCGCAAAACAAGAAGCAAAAAGCACACACTCATGTAGTTGAATATAGTAGCAGTGATCATGAGCAAGAGAAGGCCACTGTTCCCCCTTGTACTAACAGTCGTCAATAGGCATTCTAACAGGGAGGTACTGTACTCCCAAGGAGCTGTTTGTGAAAGGGGCGGACATCCCAACTCCGTCCTAAAATGAACATCGAAGCCATGTGGGCATTTGCAAAGATAGGGGCACCCCGTTTCTAAAAACCCTAAACCCTATAGAACTTTATTTGAGGGAGTCTGGGGTCCGTCTCTAAAGGATCGTCATCATCTCTTCTCTGCTGTGGCATCCCCCTTGGGTTCCGTTTCGCCTATCCCATCTGCTTCTCTTGAGGGGCGAAGCTACACTTCCTAGCATACAAGGGTCGCTCTCTAAAACAGAGCACCTTTTCAACCTAAACCCGAAACCCTATATAACTCCCCTAAATTCGGGGTCCTATGATGCTAAAGGGGTGCCGTAGTATATAGGAGTCTCAAAAAAACCACACACAACTGCACAGTGTCTGTAGAAAACTCATGGGCTTGGGGGTTTGGGTAGGGTTTACCAAGGTTTCGGGTGCAGAGCTTTGGGATTTCTTCTGGAAAACGAGCACCCTAAACCCTTAACTCATGGCTTTAGGGCTGTGGAACATCCCGGGTTTAACATACTGCCCTTGGCACCCAGTCTCCCTCTAGATGCCTCTGGAGAAACGAAGCGTTTGGGGGCTTGAGGGGCTTATTGCTTACTGTTGCTTAAGGGTTGACAAACCCTAAACCCTAACCCCTCAACTCCGAACGACAAGCAAACCTGAGCCCAATCTTTACAGCGAATGTCAAACATGTGTCGGCCCACGTCAAGCTTTTGCTCACGCCCTCGTAGCCTGGGCGCAGGACGATTTCTTGGGTATAGGATTTGGGTTTGATTGGGGGTGGAGGGGGGGGGGGGGGGGGGGGGGCTGCCCAGTAACGTAAGAATGCCAAGCTTTTTGTTCATAGAGGATTTTGAAGGTTTCAGTTTCAACCCCATAAGAGGGGAACGCTAGTTGCCATGGTGCTCCCAGAATTCTATCAAAGGCTCAAAGTAGCCCTTCATAAGCCTTCATTGCCCCTCCCTTTCCCCCAGATCCCTACGAGAAAGTGCCGTTCAACTTGTCTGGGCACCATGCGGGTAACCCTCAACCCTATACTTAACCCCAAACCCTAAACCCTAAACCTAAACCCTAAACCCTAAACCCTGAGTCCTAGTAGCTCTGAGCACCATGCTGGTCTGGACAGGGATGTCTCCGCGGTCATACGCACGTCGAAACCTGTTCGTACAAACTGTCTGGGTCTGGGCCGTGTTCTCAGGGCTGTGGTTCCCTCTTGCAAGGGCTTCCATTGAAATTCCAGTTGAGGTTGAGTGAGCTTCAGATTGGTTTTGGGTCTTGGAGATCGTTCAAATCCACCGCCGAGCATCCTCGTGGTGTTGAAGGCCAGGCTCGGCCCTGAAATTCCTTCAATGATGGGGCTGCAGGAGGACGACGTTCTCCTTAACCGAGTAGCCCAGAAAATCCTCCAAACAACCAACAGAACGAAGCGCTAAACCCTGACACCCTAAGCCCCTGACAGACCTTAATCTCCCTCAAACAAAAAAGCCTTCTCCTAAGAAAAAACAAACATCAAAACAAAAACAAAACGGGCGCCCGGCTCCGAGGCGGCTGCCGGGCGTGGATCCCGCGCGCCAGCTCGGGGGGGTGGGGCCGGCGCCTTGGGGTTCGTTGAAGAGAAGGTTTGGGGTTTGGGCTTGAGGTTTGAGGGTTGAGGGCCTGAGGGTTGAGGGATAAGGGTTTAGGGTTGAGGGTTTAGGGTTTAGGGTTAGGGGGTTTGGGGTTTAAGGTTTAAGGGGTTTAGGGGGTTTAGGGTTTGGAGTTTAGGGGACATAGGGCCCCCTAACCACACCACCCATCACATCACTCTCCCCGCAAGGTTGGAACTTGAAGAAGACACATCATCCATCCAGCCCATCTCCAACTCCACCAACTACATCTGCTCCACTTCCTGTGCAAGAAACTTTTGAGAACCACAAGAGGTAAGATGCATAGGAGCCTCTCGCGACATGCCAGATACGTGATCCCGAAGCACCTCACTGGCTTACAGTGCAAGAGGTGCGGCAGTGTAGGTGTAGTGCTTTGGTTTTTGGAAACTCAAGCTAACCAGGCTTTACATAAACCCTAAAGCCGAATTAAACCCCAAATACCCAAACCCTAAAACCCAAACCCTTAACCCTAAACTTCTAAACCCCCCCAAACCGTAGGTACCAGGGTTGAGGTTGTAGTGAGCCCCAGCGCTTGGTCCTCGGCCGGGCACTTTCGCACCGCCAAGGAGCCTTGGGCTTGGCAGCTTGCTCTGCCATAAAGGGTTTGGGGTTTTAGGGTTTTAGGGTTTAGGGTTTTAGGGCTTTAAGGTTTTAGGGCTCTAGGGTTTTAGGGTTTTAGGGTTTTAAGGTTCACAGCTTCTGAACACCAAAAAAGCCGGAGGTGGGGGAGTGGGGGGTGGAGGAGGGGCGAGGGGAGGGGAGGGGCCACACCCTTAGCACCCACAACTTGGCCCAGGGTTTTAGGACACAGTAGCCCAAGCAACAATGAATCATACAGGGCATCCTCCCTTTATTGCAGCCGACAGGCTCACGGCACCACCAGTGCCCGTGCCCTTCTTCAAGGGCTTGGGAAGTGTCTGGCAGAGGTGGACTACGCTGGACCCGGGCTTTCTCAAAGGCGTACCCTGAACCCTGAACCCTAAACCGCCCTAAACCCTTATAAACCCTAAACCCTAAGCCCTAAGCCCTAAAACCCTAAGCCCTGAACCCTAAAGCAACGTTTGAATCTGAGAACTGAAAGGGGACTGCAAAGGAAGTACCTGGAGGGTTTTTGCATATTGAAATGTCAAGAACCTTTGGGCCCAGAAAGGGTATTAGGGTTTGGCATGTCAAGGCCCAGGGATTTGGGAGGTGCAGTTTGCATGTTATTCTTGGATGGGGGGGCGGGGGGAAATTGAACCCCCAAAAAAGCCAAAAGGGCACCACTGAGCTACCAAGGACACAGCGCGCAGGAGCCTCAGACACTCCCTAAACCCTAAACCCCAAACCCTAAAACCCAAAACGCTTTTTCTGGCGACTCTCTCAGCTCTTCGCTCGATCGCCTTCGTCATCTTCGCCATCTCGACCTCGAACCTTGGAAATCAGGCTCCGAGTGATGTCGCCAAACTCGTAGTCCTCCTTCCCCGTTATCTGCTTCGCAGTCGAGCTCGCCGCGTCCGAGATCTTCTCCGCGGCAGCTTTGGTGATGTCTCCAAACTTGTAGCTGTCCTTAGCTTTGGAGTAGACCCTGGAAAAAAGTATATACTTTTTAGGTATAGTTAGCTATAATTGGAGCCCAAGACCAAAAACATATTAAAGAATAGTACTCCAAGACCCAGTGTCCTTCCCTGTGAATTTGGAGACAGTGGCTTTCGTGAGGTCACCGAACTCATAGTCCTCTCTGCCAGTGCTACTGCTACTGTATCAGTTTTGGCTGCTCATCTCATTCGTACTCTTGCTTATGCCCTAAACCCTAAACCCTAAACCCTAAACCCTAAACCCTAAACCCTAAACCCTAAACCCTAAGCTCCTCTTTGCCAGTGTAAGAGCTGATGCCGGATTTCAGGCCGGATGCGAACTTCGTCATGGCCGCTTTCGTGACGTCTCCAAACTTGTAGTCCTTCTTTCCAGTGAAGTCCTGTACATGCCCAGGGTTTAGGGTTTAGGGTTTAGGGTTTAGGGCTTAGGGCTAGGGAAACTATACATGCTAGCCTCTTGAAGATTAACAAAGGGCTTGTGCCCTGTAAGCGATCCCTCAGAACCTCAATAAACAGCTACTTTAAACATTCCCTTGAGTTTTTAATAAACAGAAATACCCAACCACTTCCACAGGGGGGCTATAGTAAGGCTACAGAAAAGCATTTCCCCCTTATACTAACAGTCCCTATCTTAGGGACTCTAACAGGGGCGACTATTCCCTGTTCAGGACTGTTAGGTTAAGGGGGGAAACATCCCAAGATGACCCTAAACCCTAAACCCTAAACCCTAAACCCTAAACCCCAAACCCTAAACCCTAAACCCTAAACCGTCCTTGACTCCGTTGCTGGCTGCCTCCATAGCATCCTGCACCAGCCTGGCGGCGGTCTCCGCGTCCCGGGCTGCCATCAGCTCGACACCTTTGGGCTTTTTTTTTCGGTAGGGTTTAGGGTTTAGGGTTTAGGGTTTAGGGTTTAGGGTTTAGGGTTTAGGGTTTAGGGTTTAGGGTTTAGGGTTTAGGGTTTAGGGTTCAGGGGTTTAGGGTTCAGGGGTTTAGGGGTTTAGGGGTTTAGGGGTTAGGGTTTTTTTCGGTAACATGAGAATACGGTAGGGCCCTTCATCACTCGGTTATTCTAGTAACGTCGTAGAATCAGAAAAGGGGTCATAAGGGAATACGACTAGCAATGATTCCGAAACCTTCAACCCTGCACGCTCAGGAGTCCCAGACACCCACAACCACGGAGACCACCAGCCTCACCAAGCGAAGGCCCCAGCGCCTGCGCGCCTGTAGCAGCGCGCCTCGGAGGCGCTGGACGAGCCCTCTCTTCTGCCTTGGGGTTCGGGTTTCGGGTTTAGGGTTTAGGGTTTAGGGCTTAGGGTTTAGGGTTTCGGGTTTAGGGTTAGGGTTCAAAAACAGGCCCCGGCCTGAAGTGAACCCAAAGAGCTGTGCATGAATTAGGCCTTGCTGGAGTCACTGAATTTTGCTGCAAGTTCATTTGCTCCCAAAAAAGAACTTTGTTTCAGCGACGCCTGGAACATAAGTATAGACATTTGCTATTATGGCTTGTAGGCGTATATAATCAGAAAAAAAACAGTTGTTCAACCAGAAATGCACCAAGAACACCCCAAAACAACCCCAAAGCCTGAATCCAGAAACCCTAAAATCGTAAAACCCTAAAAGCCCTAAAAACCCTAAACATCCTAAACCACTAAAAACCTGAAAACCCTAGAAACCCTAAAAAAAAAACCCTAAAAACACCGCTTCAAACAGACATACGACCCGAAACGCTTCTCAAAACCCTAAAACCCTAAAACCCTAAAACCCTAAAACCCTAAAACCCTAAAACCCTAAAAACCTAAAACCCTAAAACCCTAAAACCCTAAAACCCTAAAACCCTAAAACCCTAAAACCCTAAACCCCTAAACCCCTAAACCCCCAAACCCCTAAACCCCTAAACCCCTAAACCCCTAAACCCCTAAACCCCAGAAACCCCTAAACCCTAAACCCCTAAACCCTAAACCCTAAACCCTAAACCCTAAATCCCAAAAGCTTTTCCCATCTCTTTGCTCTCGGGCTTCGTGTCACGCGGGACTTTGGGGAGTGCGGCCCCTGCAAGCCAGGCCAGGGATGGCCTCTTCCTTAAGGTAGCCCGGGAAGCATACTCCAAGAAGAGTTTAGGGTTTAGGGTTTAGGGTTTAGGGTTTGGGGTTTAGGGTTACTTGAATAAGTAGGGAACCTTGAGCCACTTTTATAAGGGAACCCTTTGAACACACACAAAAAACAAGGGCAAAAACAGGGTACCCTGCTGGTCTACCGAGCCTCGGGCCTGGATAGTGGGCTCCCCGAAGCCCCTGGCGGCCGTCGACGAGCCTCGGGGCGGGCGGGGCGCAGCGCTGGTGAAGCGCGAGCTGCGGCAGCATCGTCCCATGTGCGGGCTGTCCTCTGGCTCCCTTTCTTGGGGGGTGGTCCGTATATGGGATGTTCCCCCCCTAGTACTAGCAGTGCTAAATGGGGAGTAGAATAGGGGTACTAGAATCCCTCTTAATTAAGCACTGTCAGTACAAGGGGAACCATCCAAAGTGGTCCTTCTTTTGACGAGTTCTATGGGTATGCCAAGAAAGGTTGCCGAAAAGAGGAGTTTCGACTTGAACAGGCCCCCATGTGTCTAAGACTATCTCTGCCTCGCTTGCGTAACGCCCACACCTAGAGCCACCCGTTTGCCGAGCCCTTGTATCTTTCAAATTGGTGTGCTTGCAACATCCGAGCCAACAGTGGAAGCTGCGCCAGAATTCACCGAAATAGCGTCTGCGCAGGAGAGCAAGGCGCACGCTTCTTTGGGTGACAAGCTTTTGTCAGAATTGGGGCCGTGCAGATGCCACGTAGCTAAGCTATATAGCGACCAGATGCCTCTGAACCCTAAACCCTAAACCCGCTGAAGCCCTAACCCTAAACTTCCCTGGTCGAAACATAAACCCCAAACCCTAAACCCTGAACCCCGAAAAAGATGCCAATCAAGCTTACACTTTCCCCTAACAACCCGCAAACCCTAGAAGCCCTGTTAGCCCCAAACCCAGAAAGATTCGAAGCACCCTAAACCCTAAACCCTAAACCCTAAACCCTAAACCCTAAACCCTAAACCCTAAACCCTAAACCCTAAACATCACAGGCATGCCTTTGCATGGAGACCCAACGCCGGTGTTGAGGCCGACGTCAAGACGGACCTCACCGACTTTGGGTCCCAAAATTCTGGGGTTTAGGGTTTAGGGTTTAGGGTTTAGGGTTTAGGGTTTAGGGTTTAGGGTTTAGGGTTTAGGGTTTAGGGTTTAGGGTTTAGGGTTTAGGGTTTTTGTTGTAAGGGGTTAAACAACTAGGGTTTGGGGTTGAGGGATCTGAAGGTTTGGGAAGTTTATGGGTTTTGGCTCAGGGTTTAGGGTTTGCACATCGCGAGAAGGCCCAATGCGGGAGTTTAGGGCGTTGCAGGGAGTACTTTCACCCTACTACCCCCTCTATTCTACGCAACCCCCCCCCCCCCGCCCCCAGGTTCCCCCCATAAGTAGAGGTAGGAGGGAATCCCATGATCCTTGGTTCTCAACGTAGCCACAAGGTAGCCTTAAGCATCTACTACATACGTGGACCTCGAGGGTGCGCTTGGGACGTGCGCGTTTGTTGCAAGCCGAAACGCAAAGCTAAACCCTACAGAAGCGCCTTGCTTTCTGGTGCGGCAGGGCTGGCCCAAAGTGGACAAAACCCAAACTGTGCAATCTCAAGGCATGCCAAACAACCCTAAACTTTACCTAAACCTTCGGAGTGGCCACGTCTTCAAGATTTGCGGCGCTCGAATAATTTAGAGAAAAGCCGACACCAATACTATTGCTGTGGAAAGGCACGGGCAGTGGCTACAGCGAGGAGTGGGATACACGCGCCCTGAACCTCCAAGCAAGGTGCGGCCTAAACCCTAAAACCCCAGATCCCAGACCCTGAACCCTCTATACCCTGTACACCTTATAAACCCTATAAACCCTAAAAACCCTAAAAACCCTAAACACCCTAAACACCCTAAACACCCCAAACACCCTAAACACACTAAAAACCCTAAACACCCTAAACCCTAAACCCTAAACCCTCAACCCTAAACCCTCCCTGAGCTGAGAAGGCGGCGTGCCCAGCAATCCGAGCTTCGAATGACGCACGCAGTCCTGGGATGGTAAAGCAGCACACCCCCTACGTCTATAAGGGTCCAGGTACCTATGTAGGGTTTAGGGTTTAGGGTTTAGGGTTTAGGGTTTAGGGTTTAGGGTTTAGGGTTTAGGGTTTAGGGTTTAGGGTTCAAGGTTTCGAGTTTAGTGAATATACTTGGGCCTTAACGAGGTTCCCAGATAGTAGCTTTAGGGCCCAAGAGATGTACATGGACCCCTTGAGGGGCTATAGGGCTTGCAGTTTAGGGCAGAACTCAAATACTTTAAAGCCTGCAGGTCTCAATGCTACCTAGGTTGCCCAGTAACCTGGGGATTAAATGGGGTGCCTTTTCTTGCTCACAGGGCTTTATAGAGGGAACCAACCCCCACCCCCCCTCCCCCCCCCCCCCCCCCCCCCCAAAAAAAAAAAAAGGGAATAAGGGCACTACTGGGCATCCTAGCTAGACGCAAGCCTAAATCCCTTCAGCCGAACATCTTGGAGCCCAGAAACCCCACGACCTCAAGCGCAAATTGAACCTTCAGGCTATACAGGTAGTTCTCGAAATTAGGTTCTCCTAGATCATTCAGAAAAAAATATATATCGGCACCTTCTACATGGACCCCGAAACAGAAAGAGAGCCTAATTCAGAGAACTACCCATAAGAGTTTCCAAATGTAAGGGTACTTTGTTGGGATCCTCCTTCTAAGGGGGGGTCGAAGGGGTTTGGGATCCTAGTATGGGAGGTTTGTATTATTAGGGGATCCCGTATTCTCGCAAGCTCCCATATTTGACGGCAGGTCACAGCTAAGCATAGGACCCTAAGTTGTCGTGAGTCTTTGCTCCGCGCTCCCTCCTTTGAGACTGCGGGTGCTTCCTCAAGGTCATGTGCCTTTTAAGTACATACACTAGGGCCGGTATATACTATATCGGTACATGGACCCCTAGGGTTTAGGGTTTAGGGTTTAGGGTTTAGGGTTTAGGGTTTAGGGTTTAGGGTTTAGGGTTTAGACAACATTTGCAGGTTTCCAGGCTTGGCAGGGGCTTGGAGGCTTGTGGTGTGCAACTTCCGGAAAGTAGGGTATGGGGTGTGAAGCTTTGGGCTGTTAGGCAGCTAAGGTTTGTACTAAACCCTGAACCCTAAACCTTAAATCCTAAACCCTAAACCCTAGACCCAAAGCCTCAAACAAGGCAAAACGAAAAAAAAAACACAGAAAACAAGTGCTCTGATGCATGGGCATTCGAGGATCGGATGGGAAGGCCCCAAACGGCGACTCTTTGCTCCTCGCAGCTCTCTACTCTCTCCCTAAGACCCTTAAGATTAACCAAACCCTAAACCCTAAACAATAAACCCTATAAACCTAAACCCACACTTATCACTAAACCCGAAAATGCCAGCGTTATTTTCGCTACCCTGGCCCTGCAAAGCCCAAGTTAAACCCAAGAAGGAAAAACATGGACCCTCATTGCTTTTTTGACGACCAAAGCAAGCAGGGGGGTTCTAGCTTCAAGAAACCTTAACCCGGAAACCCTCACCATTCTTAATAAACTTGCACCCCTACATGCTTTATAGGTACCCAAATGACCACCCCAAAAAAAATCCTCAAACCATATACCCTTAAACCTAAATGCAGTGTTCATGGAACGCACCGAAAGACTTATATGTTCGTTCCTGTAAAACAATCATCCAGATTTGTTTCACATGTCAGAGTCCAGTGATTGTCCAGTTCTTGCCCAACACAAACGAGCACATAACACGCGACCATGTGTGTTTATACATCCATCTATATATATATGTCTATATACGTATATGTATATATGTGTATGTATAACCCCGACCCTATAACCCTTACTCTCTGAACCTTGAACCCTACACCCTGTAAACCCTAAACCCTGTAAACCCTTAACTAAATAAACAAATAAATGTATATATATATAAACCCCCAATCACCCCTATACCCAAAACCGCTAAACCGCTATTCCCTAAACCCTAAACCCTAAACCCTAAACCCTAAACCTCCCCCCCCCCCCCCAAAAAAAAAAAAAACAAAAAAAAGCCCTGGTAACGGGTCCTCCAAGGCCCTCGTGCCATGGTCGGCATCGGAGGCGAGGTCGACTTGCAACGCTGAGCTTGAGAATCTCAGGGCTTTTAGGCTTGAGGGTTTAATGGTAAAGGGTTCAGGGTTTCAGGCGCTTAGAACCCTAAACCCTAAACCCTAAACCCTAAACCCTTAACCCTAAACCCTAAACCCTCCAACTCTGAGCCCTAACAGTGATCAGGATGAACAAGGCTTCAAGGGCTGATGGGGGAGAAGCTGGTGTCAAGATGACTAGGGGGGCTGTAGCCTGGGGGCTTGGTGGGAGCGGGACACTACTGCAAGCAACCTCGAGCCAAAATGCAAGCAGGGCGGCCTTTTTTACTTTTTTATTTCTGTACCAGTTGCTATTTTGAGAGGGGGGGGGGAGTCCTAATTTGAATGTTTTCAGATTTCTCTATTTCTGTACCATGTGTTATTTTGAGGGGGGGCGGGGTCCTAGTTGGAATGGTACTTTGGGCTGTTTGCGTTCACGCTATATACAGGCTAGAAGGGATGACATTGGAGTGATTTGGGCCCCTGAGTTATTCAAAGTAGGCGGCCATGCTATACCTCGTTCACTGGACGGGAAACAAGAGTCTGCAAGCTGTCCGTTGCACACTTAGCGAGTCAAGCACATGCATCTCAAATGAGAGGGGGGCCAGTCTGCAAACACGCAAGCTGTGCGGGCTTTCTGCTGAGGCCATGTATGCTGTTGCTTCGTCTATCAGCGTATCAGCCCTAAACCCTAAACCTCAAACCCCAGGGGCCTAAACCCTAAACCCTAAACCCTGAACCCTGAACCCTAAACCCTAAACCCTAAACCCTAAACCCTAAACCCTAAACCCTAAACCCTAAACCCTAAACCCTAAACCCTAAACCCTAAACCCTAAACCCTAAACCCTAAACCTAGGAAGTCCAGGCTGCACGGCTCCTTTTTCAATCGAAGCTGTGAGGGTTAGGACACCCATCACAGAAGCGGTGGGAAGGACTGCACATCGCGCCGGCGAGTGCAAAAGCCCCAGTGGCAAATAAAGCCAGCCAAGAACGAGGGCCCTGCCACTGCAACCAGAGCCGTGGCCAAAGCAGTTGCACCTCCATCGGCAAGGCCCTACAAACCCCAAAACCCTAAACCCTAAACCCGCAATCGGGGGGGGGGGGGGGGGGCTCCAGGCCTAAATCCTAAAACCTAAAACCTTAAAACACCAAGCTAAAACCCAATATCTTCAAACTCTACAGTAATTAGGGTATACTCCATTCTCAGCTCGTAACCTGCCGTTCAACCGCCGAGAGTGTTCCAGGAGCCGGGGCAGGTTTTAGGGTTTGGAGACCGACCCGCATTTCGCCAAGACTCATGTGCCCAAGTGTTCAAGCACCTGCTGTTGTTTCAACCCGTCATAGCCTCAGGAAGCACCAAAAACCGTCAGACGTAGGGTCGCGTCCAAAAGTCATCGTGATCGTCACAATCAACCCTGACAACCATGATACAAGAAGAAGAAGAAGAAGTTTTGGACGATAGCAATCGTCATAATACTAGTCAGTAGTCAAGTTCATACTCAAAAGATAGCAACAACAGATGCGAAAGTAATCGTCGACACCTGGGTGGTTTCCGAAATGAGGTGATCCCAATGTAGATCCCCAAATAGTAGGATTCCCTTACAATTCTAACGATCCCATAAGGCATCATCCCCGACTTTCGGAACACCCCCCCCCCCCCCACGGTTTAGGGTTTAGGGTTTAGGGTTTAGGGTTTAGGGTTTAGGGTTTAGGGTTTAGGGTTTAGGGTTTAGGGTTTAGGGTTAAAAACCGCCTGCCTTCCAGATTCGCCATGCCAGCATCGGCGAAAAGAGGCCGGGGTCCCACGGGTTTGGCATTTGCGGAGGCCCGCACCTCCCCCTCTGGGCGGAAGTGGGCCAAGCTGCCTGTGATGGATGACTTGGGGCTTACCCTAAACCCTAAACCCGGAACCCTAAACCACAAACCCCAAACCCCAAACCCTAAACCCTAAACCCTAACTCCTTTGGGGTCTGGAGTTTAGGGTTGAGGGTTGTGGGTTTACCTGAGGAATCAGCAAGGAGCGGGCTCATGGGGGTGCGCAGGGTCACAGGGGTTTAGGGTTTGGGGTTTAGGGTGAAGGTCGTTTAGGGCCCAGAGGGTAGTGCTAAGGCATGAACCCCGTTCTTCATACAACAGTTCTGGGGATATCTATCTGCACCTGCCGCCTGCTGGGATACCAATTCTACAGACACACCTTGAATCCTTGAATCCACAACCCTAAACACTCCGATCTACGGCTCGCAGTTGACTTCTAGCTGCACATCTGCTATCCAACACATGGCGCGTACGGTGTCATTTCGGGTGGAGGGTTGAGTGTTTAGGATATTTAGGATGCGGGAGGATCCTATACTCCCTATACACCCTAAATCCTAAACTTTAAGCCCTACACCCTAAACCCGAAACCCCAAACCCTAAACCCGCAAGGGGGCCAGGAGGGTCTTCGTCAAGTGCTGCCGCGAGCGCCTGCTTCCTCGCGCTCGAAGAACTCGCCCACCACGTCGTTCATCAGGCGTGGGTCATCAATCCTCTCCAATATGGAGAAACCCTATAAACCCTTCAGAGGTTTACGGATTAGGGCTTATAGGGGCTTAGGGTTTAGTGTTTAGGGCTTGAAGTCTTGGAGAAACCCTATCAGCCCTCTAGTATGAAAAAGGGCTCAAAGGATGAAAAGGGGCTCAAGCCCGGGGCCCCAATAAACCTATCATTCGGACCATTTGCCCTCTGACATTATGTGTAAACCCCTAGCTTTCCGGGTTTGGGGTGTATACCCCCACTGCTACAACCTCTAGTAGGGCATATGGAGCAAGCATAAACCCTTCCATGGTTCTTTTTTGGTCCCCAAACAAGTGTTGTACAGGTACCCGTGTACTTGGGATGTTCCCCCTTACGCTCACAGTCCTTATAGGGACTATAATAGGGTACTACACCAATTCCTATTGAGGACTGTTTGCATAAGGGGGAGCATCCCAACGTATGAACCTCGAGCCAACCCTAAACCCTAAACCCTAAACCCTAAACCCTAAACCCTAAACCCTAAACCCTAAACCCTAGGGTTTAGAGGCTCGGGGTGGCCAAGTGTAGAGTGCGGGGAGGGCGACTAGGGTTTAGGGTTTAGGGTTTAGGGTTTAGGGTTTAGGGTTTAGGGTTTAGGGTTTAGGGTTTAACCCTACACCGTATACTCTATCTACTCTACATGCTGGACCCTAAGCCCTACAGCCCAGAAACCTAAAGCCCTACATGCCTCCCACAAAAAAAGAAAGTACCTAAAACCCTAAACACTACCCCCTTCCTCCCCACCCCACTATGGACCCCGCACTCCCTCAAAGGCATTATATATTTCTTGTACCCCCAAAAGGACACCCGAGGTATACACTCACCAATATTTAAAAAGGAACCATATATACACTCACCAAAAACAGAAATATAAACCCTGCTTCATATAGCGGGGTCTAGCGCTTGGATCCTACAGAATTTAAGACTTGGAGATCAGGTTGGGATGTTCCCCCTTGTACTAACAGTCCTTCATAGGATAATAGTAGGGGGCACTACAACCCCTATGAAGTATAAGGGGGGAAATCCCAAAGTTCAGGGTTTACGGCTCAGTTTTGGGGTTTAAGGGTCGGTGTGCCCCTACAACCCGCAACCCAACCAAAAAGTCCTTGCACGGGGCCAAACAAATCCAAAACCAAACCCAAAACTACACCCAAACCCTAACAAAAAACAAACATCCTAAACCCTAAACCCTACACCCTACACCCTAAACCCTAAACCCTAAACCCTAAACCCGAGAAGACATCCCCAGGGCAGGGTCATGGAGCAATGGCCGGATCGTGGCATCATGGCCTTCCAGACACGCGGCAGGTTCCTTGCGTGCGTGGGGTTTAGGGTTTAGGGTTTAGGGTTTAGGGTTTAGGGTTTAGGGTTTAGGGTTTAGGGTTTAGGGTTTAGGATTTAGGGTTTAGGTTCGGGGTGAAAGATTAGGGTTTGGAGCCTAGGGTTAGGACTTTGGGCTTACGGTCTTCGGGGGTTCAGGGTTTCGGGTAAGGGTTTAGGTAGAATGAGCCTTTATGGACACATGGCGCCTTGTCTGTTCCGAAAGTTGTGGACTGACATTTGAAGGAAGGCGACCCGATTCTGAACACCACGTCAAAATAGAACTACCCTAAACCCTAAACCCTAAACCCTAAACTACCCTAAACCCTAAGCCCTAAACTCTAAACCCTAAACCCCAAACCCTTAACCCTTATCCCCAAACCCTAGACATGAAAGTAGACATGAAATTCAACGGGCCTTTCGAGCAAATCCCAACACCCTGAATTACCCTAAGCTAATCCCGGAACCGGTAGGGTTTAATCCCAAGATATCCCAATCCCCAAACCCTCCACCAAACCCTCCAAAGACTCCAAACCCTCAAAACCCTCAAAACCCTCAAAACCCTCAAAACCCTCAAAACCCTCAAAACCCTACAAGCCTCACAACTTCAAACCTTCAAAACCCTAAAACCCTCCAAACTCAAAAAAACTGATCACCCCAAGCTGCCGGTAGAGCGCGTCGACGACGGGTGGGCGCATGGTGTCATAGCGGCCGAAGGTCAAGAGCACCTGAGAACCCACCCAACTCATAAACTCTAACCCTAAGCCCTAAACCCTAAACCCTAAACCCTAAACCCTGAACCCTAATTAAAACCTAAACCCTAAACCGTTAAACCCTAAACCCTAAACCCTATTCATGCCCCCCCCCCCCCCCCAAGCCGCACGTGGGGATGGCAAAGCTGCAGGGTGTTCAGGGCTTCCTATGAAGTTCATAGGTTCCCCTACGAACCCCTCTCTATACTAGCGTTTAGGGTTTAGGGTTTAGGGTTTAGGGTTTAGGGTTTAGGGTTCAGGCCCCTCGGTTCCCCCCATAATTAAGGCTATCTTGGGATAATCAAGCCTAACCAATGTTATCTAAGGCAGGGAACCTGGGGGGAGGCTGGTATAGAGGGGGGTTGTAGGGGAGCCCATGAACAGTGTATACTTTCGTACCCGAGGGACCGGAGAAGCCTCCCACCTGGCCTAGCTAGGGTTTAGGGTTTAGGGTTGCGGGTTAGGGTTTAGGGTTTGGGGTTTAGGGTTTCGGGTTATTGGTTTCGAGGTTCAGGGTTTTGGGGTTCACTGAACTTCTCGGGGTTCGGGCTGGAGGGGGTCTCTACATTGCGCGCCCAGAGGGTCCATTTGTAGCCGGGAACAATTCATCATGTCAATGTGTCGTGGTCCAGCTCGTGGTCCCTACTGAAATAATTTTTCAAAAGGGCAGATGGCGGGCCTCTATGGCGTACCACTGCCGAGGTGCTATCTGCAATGAGCCCACTCTCCCAGAACCATCATGAAAGGACACTGCTTCAACTTCCTGGAGTACTACATCAGATCAGATACCTTATATGGGGGGTTTCCGAAATTAGGGTACCTCATTGGGGTCCTTACTATGAGGGATTCCTACTATTGGGGGATTATATTCGGGGTCCTTGTTTTTGTAAACCCCCATAGAGAATCCTATGGGAGGGTGTCAACTGCCTAAAGAGCACCTTGCTACGCGGAAGTGTTCACCGCGATCATATTGGCTACCCAAATGAACCATGAAAGTTGGAAAGAACTTGTACCATCATAGGCCCTGAGAACCCTACACCCTAAACCATAAAACCCTAAACCCTAAAACCTAAAACCCTAAGCCACCTTTGCTGGAACCTCCAGCCTGTCCGTGACGGTGGCTGTCACGGGGCAGGAGTCTAAAGCCACGGCCACCTTTCCTGGAACCTACACCGTGCCCATGATCGTGGCTAGGTGCCACACGGGGCTGGTGTCTTGGGCATGCTGCGTACATTACTGTGCTTGTAGGATACCATAATTAAACTGTACATGTGGAAAACTTCACGTTAGGATGGTCTTTGAAACTTAAGGAGCACGGTTTCCTTTCAAGCGCCCACATGCCCAAGATGCCAATCGTCCTACGGATCAAAGTGTGCTCTTGCACTGCCTTTTGAGGACGTTGCATGCAAAGCACTCGTGGAGCAGGTATTCTTCGCCACGACTCCGGGCAGCTGATTATAAAACAAACGATGCTGCTGATAATGTCGCTGACGATGACGAAGATGAGATGATGATGGTGAAAAAACATCTCATGATGACTAGATGTGATTGTAGCTCGTTGTACAGATGTAGCACTTTCACATGCAACGGCTCCTGCAGGCATGTCCTCAACCTATAAGCAAAGCAAACCCTTCGTTCGCCTACCCCACAGGCCGTGCCCTCTTCGCATCGAACAAAATCCAAGACTTGAACAGAAGTTATCATGATATCGCGGCCTTCGGGGGTTGGGCAACCACAACGGGACCGTCAGGGTTTGTGGCCTAAAGGCCTATAAGTTATAAACCAGCTTTCGTCAAAGCCTCACCAGCGTACTGCACGTACTGGTTGCCCCTGAGCCCAGATGCCGCTCCTCGAAAACGAGGCAATCTCCGGCACGGTGTCGCATGTGCATGAAGGGGGCTCGTTCGTCAGCCTGCGCAGCAATCACTCCGGATAGTTAATACTCCGCAGCATGCACTACTCAAAGTACCTGGCCTCATCGCTGTACCTGGCGGAGACGCGGCACACAGGAGAGCCAACCGAGACTGTCGCGCTGTCCCCCTTCTGGAGAGTGCGCTTCTGTGGAAACTCGTCCCTTCCCACGCTTACCTGGCGCTCGACAGCAACAAGTCCGGCGAGTCTGTTTAGACTGCCATCCAGGATGGGCAAACCTGACGTTGCAACTTGAATCGCAGGTCTTGCTCCCCTATACTTAGATCGGTCAAGTGCCACTGCGAGAATTCTCAGAAATTTGCGGAAGTAACGCTGACATTTGATGAATGTCTCCTCTTAAGGGACCAAGAGGCTGGTCCTGCTGGACACAGTGTAGCGGGAGTCTGGCACCAGGCAACGGGGATCTTCTTCAACAACAATGTCGACCGCTTTTCCCGTCCTGTTCTCCAAGTGCACCCAATAGGAGTTCGCCAAGTGGATGTAGACCGATTGAAAGAAACCTGCGGAGTGCACGGAGGTGCGCCGTGTGCCGCCTGCCAGCAGCACGCAAATGATACAAAATCACCATGTTACTATGCTGCCTTATTAAAAACGACATGTTCAATATTTTCTTGGGTTTTATTATCAACAAAAACATGAAATAACTCCCAAGGGGGATATGGGTTGCACTGTTCAAGGACAGGAGTGTGCGGAAATCGGCCCTCCGCACGGACCCGATCGTGTCTCCCTCTGACAACTCCCTCAAAAGATGTGCTTGTGCAGATTCATGCCCAAAGGATCCATGTACCTGTATGGTCTATACTTGGGCCCTAAAGCTACTATATAGGAACCCCTTTAAGGCCCAAGTATATACCATATAGGTGCATGGATCCTTTGGGATGAGCACAGAAGTGGCCTATCAAAACAAGAACTGATTCGTGGGGGCAGCCCCGCGTATGCCCCTGAGACATCAATGCCTGGAACTTCAAAACGGAATTCTTGGATGCTGTGGGCTTATGACATGCAGCCACGCTTCCCCTGAGAATCCTCTGCGCAGAAGCACCAAAAGCGTGGACACGAGCACAAGAGCGCATGGACTAATGATTGGAACCGTCCCTCAACCCTAATCCAAAATCACACCCGAAAAAACGAGAAATCTGCGATCCGTGAACCGCCCTCAAGCCTAATCCGAAAACACCAAAAAACCAGAAATCTGCGATCTGTGAAGCTTTCGTCAAAGGCCGGCCTTCAGCTGGCGCACAGCTCGGTGAACACATGCCACCCATGACGGTATGCTGTATGCAAAGTGCGTGCGTGCCAGCTGGCTGCAAGTGCTTGAGGCTCAAACTGGCGCCGGATTGCTGCCGTGATGGCGTGCAAACTCAGAAAGCCTAAACCCTAAACCCTATAAACCCTAAACCCTAAACCCTAAACCCTAAACCCTGAACTCCTACATCGCAACTAAGGGCACCGGGTTAGCGATCTGCGGCAGTCGGGGAGTGTAGTTGAAGCCACCCAGGACACCCGAGAAAACGAACTCGCTGGCCCCTTGCATGCCCACGTAGATCTCCTTCAGGGTTTAGGGTTTAGGGTTTAGGGTTTAGGACTGTAGGGTTTAGGGTTTAGGGTTTAGGTCTGTAGGGTTTAGGGTTTAGGGTCTTAAGCTTTATAGGGTTCCAGGGCATCTCTGAGCCGCAAGGGGCCTGAACGCTCAAAAATTGGGGGTAAGGGTTGGGGGGATTTTCGTTTCTAGGGCTTAGGGCTTGGGCAGCTGAGGTTAGAATCTTCAGGCTTGAGGGCTTACCCAAAGGATCCATGCACCTATATAGTATATACTTGGGCCTTAAAGGGGTTCCTATATAGTAGCTTTAGGGCCCAAGTATAGACCAGACAGGTACATGGATCCTTTGGGTTAGAAAGTCTGAGCCTTAAACTCCTGAATCCTACACACCAGAAGCCTGCAAACACCTCAAACCCTCGACCGTGAATCCCACACACCTGAAGCTCAACCCATACGACCCCCAATAGGGTTCAGGGTTTAGGGCTTAGGGTTTAGGGTTTGAGGTTAGGGTTTATTAGGGTTTAGGGTTTAGGGGTTTTAGGGGTTTAGGCTTTTTTTTTTGGCCGATGTCCATGCTGGTGTTCGACGTGGGCTTGGCAGCGTTGAAGCAATCCGGGACCGGAGTGGTTCGAGTGGTGAAGAAGGACCTTTCGAGGGCACACAAGCCCCAAGCCCATGAAACGCGCAACCCTAAACCCTTAGAGGTAACAACCCTAACTAAAACCCTAAACCCTAGAACCCCAAAACCCTAAAACCCTGCAGACCTAAGACTCTAAAACCCTAAAACTCTAAAACCCTCCACCCCAGAACCCTAGAACCCTAGAACCCCAAAACCCTGAAGCCCTACCATCCTCAAACCCGCAAACCCTGAAACCCTCAAACCCTCAAACCCTGAAACCCTCAAACCCTGAAACCCTCAAACCCTGAAACCCTCAAACCCTGAAACCCTCAAACCCTGAAACCCTCAAACCCTGAAACCCTCAAACCCTAAACCCTAAACCCTTACACTTCATAGCGAGGCCAAAGGGACGTGAGGATCTCGTCCTCCGCGGCATAGAGCTTCGAGCTCAACCCCTTCTTCGTCTGCAGCTTCCACAAAGTTGCCTGAGTGGCTTAAGTCTAAGCTAGTTCATGGTTTGGGATAGTATGAAAAAATGTTCTATTCCTTATTGGGTTTAAGTACCCTAAAAAATGTAAAATGCTACCCAACTATGAGAAAGTAAACCCGAAGCCCTCCATCCGCGCGATAAAAAAATTCCAATACTTCAAGGCTCAGGCAAGATCCAAGTGATGAAGGATTTTGGGCCATACACCCTAAACCCTAAAACCCCAAACAAACCCCACACAAATCCCAAACCCCAAACCCCCCAAAAACTCAACCCCAACAAGCTAAACCCTAAACCCCAAACCCCCAACCCCAAAAAACGAAACTCTCCTAAACCCCCCCTCCCCCCCCCGCCTGGACGAAGAAAGGTAGGGACCCGAGGTTGCCATCGGTCTCATCCCACCTTTGGGTTTTGGGCGGTGAGGGGTCTAGGGGTGGAGGGTTTAGGGGTTTAGGGGTTTCGGGGTTTAGGGGTGAGGGGTTTAGGGGTTTCGGGGTTTCGGGGTTTAGGGGTTTAGGGGGTTTGAGGGTTTAGGGGTTTAGGGCTTTAGGGTTTAGTCTATAAACAAGCCCTACCGACTCGTACGACGCTCTAGAACCTGTAGGGTGTACAGCCCCCCTAAACAGCTAGGCCTGCCCTGCCTGAGAACGCTCTTCATGAAATATCCCCAAACCCACCTAATCTAACAACATACGCTTGCTTACCAACGAACCTCAAACCCAAACCCTTGAAAACCCTAAACCCTGAACCCCAAGCCCTAACCCTAAACCCTAAACCCTACCTGTACCCAACCCTAAGCCCGACACCAAAAACCAAACAAAAAACAAAATATTTTCCATCGGTCTCGTCCCACTGGGAGTGCCAATAGAGATCCTGGCTCGGAAGGGTTTAGGGTTTAGGGTTTGAGGTTTGGGCTTGGGGTTTGAGGTTTGGGGTTTAGGGTTCGTTCATATACTGAACTTGGCACCCTTGCAAGCATCATAAATCTAGCTGGTCCTCAGGGGTTATAGTCTCCAAAAAACCCTAAACCCTAAACCCTAAACCCTAAACCCTAAACCCTAAACCCTAAACCCAAATTGGGACGTATTTCCAAGCACCTTGAAGGTTCATGGTTAGGACTGTTGGGGATATCGCTCCCCGTCAAAATGAAGGCGACTGACGTCAACTTTTTTGGGCCACGGTTCCAGGCTTTAGGGTTTAGGGTTTGGGCTTTAGGGTTTAGGGTACAAGGTTTAGGGTTGAGGTTCTCTGCATCAGTGACAAGGCAATCACAACTTCCAGAAGAACGGCGAGGGCAAGACACCAGGCCCACAGAGAGTAGGGTTTATATTTCTTGTACCCCCAAAAGGACACCAGGTATGTACACTCACCAATATTCAAAAGGAACCTTATATACACTCACCAATAACAGTAGTATAGACCTTGCCCCACAGAGAGGGAGGGAGAGAGACGGAGAGCACAGCGCGCAGAGCACAGAGCACACCCTGTCCAGACATAGGGTTTAGGGTTTAGGGCTAATTCCTACGAACCCTAAATCCTCTATCTCGCACCTCCGATAACTGCCTACGCCGACCAACCCAAACCCTAAACATCCAAACCCCTCCCCCCCCGCCAAGCACAAAAGTGGGGCGCCTTCAACCCTAAACCCTAAGCCCCCAAACCCAAGACTGAAACCATAAACCCCCAAGCCTCGAATTCAGAACCCCTGCATATACATCCCGAAGCCCTAAACGCCCCCGAAACCCCAAACCCCTAAACCGCGAGCCCTAAAGCCTCGACCCTAAATCCTGAACCCCAAACCCCATACCCTAACGCCTCTACCCGAAGCCCTAAACCCTAAACCCTAAACCCTAAACCCTAAACCCTAAACCCTAAACCCTAAACCCTAAACCCCTGCCCACTCCACCCTGGAGGTCCCCGTCGCTGAGGGGACCGGAAAGGACCACGCCACGCAGGCGAGGATCTTGGGTGAAGGCATAGGCCTCCGGGGTTTCTGGGCGTTTAGGGTTTAGGGTTTAGGGTTTAGGGTTTTCGTGATTTAAGGCTGAAAGGTTTTAAGCTTAACGGTTTGGGGTTTAAAGACACCCGAAGTTCAGGTTTAGAGTTTAAGCGGTTTAGGCTTAGGGCTTAACGGTTTAGGGTTTTTAAAGGTTTAGGGTGTTAAAGGTTCAGGGTTCATGGGTTTTGGGCTTATGGCTTCAAGGTGCTTACTAGGGTGGCTCCCTGCCCATGAAATCACCCAGGCGTGACCCTTGCATCGTTATTTTCAACCCAACCTTGCTTTGCCCCACGCCCTGGTACCCTTTCCAGGGGATTCCTTGCAAGGATAGCATATTAGGGGGCCCTAAACCCGAAACCCTAAACCAAAGGTGTGCCAAAGCCCCCACGGGCAAACCCTAAACCCTAAACCCTACACCCTACACCCTAAACCCTAAACCCTAAGCCCCGGGGGGGGGGGGGGGGAGGGGAGGGGGGTTGATGGATTGGGATGTTCCCCCTTATACTAGCAGTGCTTGGTGGGGATTAGGGTTTAGTGTTTAGGGTTTAAGGTTTAGGGGTTAAATACAGTATCCCCGATTATCCCTTTTTAAGGACTGTAGTACAAGGGGGAACATCCAAATCGGAAGATCCCCAAACCCTAAGCCCGAAAACTGGGCCCCAATATGGAACACTGCCATTTCCATAAGGGTCCGTGGTTTGCACCCCCTAACCCTAAACCCAAAACCCAAAACCCCAAACCCTAAACCCTAAACCCTAAACCCTGTGTAAGGCACCTGGCTGAGGATCGTTCCCCAGGAGCTGCCGACGAGGTGGAACTGCTTCCAGCCCAGCGCGGTCACCAAGGTCCTCAGCTCCTGTGAAACCCTAAGGGTCTAGGGTTTAGGGTTTAGGGTTTAGGGTTTAGGGTTTAGGGTTTAAACCCTAAACCCTGAACCCTAAACCCTTCATGACTGGGCTCTTGTCATGGAACAAAATCTTAAGTTACCATCATCTGGGTTTGTGTAAATACACTTCCCTTCCAAAACCCTAAACCCGAAATCCTAAACCCTAAGCCCTAAATTCTAAACCCTAAACCCTTAAGCCTGCACTTAAGTTCCTTCACGGCAACCCTGCCTAAGGACACCTGACCAAGAAGGGGAGACGGGAGCTCCCGGATAAGCAGCCTCCAACCCCAAAACCCTCCAGCTGTTTAGGGTTTAGGGATTTGGGTAATTTTCAGGTTTGGGGGTAAGGGTTAGGGAATGGCTTACCCACATAGTTTAGGAGAATTAACAGGAAAACCTTGGGGGATACCCTGAAGGGTGTATATGGTAGCCTTTGTGCATCTTGATTTTGGGGCTGTAGGCCATTCCTGTGGGTACCTTGAGGGGGTTTTCGCGAAGGGGTTTAAACCCCAACCCCACAAACTCCAGGATCTGTAGGTGGCTTCACTGGCTTTGGGGCCTATAAACACTGAAGACGCAAAACCCTAAACCCTAAAACCAAAGCCCTAAACCCTAAGCCATAAACCCTAAACCCTAAACCCGAAACCCTAAACCCTAAACCCTAAACCCAAAACCCAAAACCCAAAACCCCAAAACCCTAACCCAAAACCCTAAGCCCTAAGCCGCTTCTCCGAAGCTGTACGTAGGACTTTTGGCCTTCACTGTGAAGCTGGGAAGAAAATGCAAAAGTCAAGAGATACAAGTGGAGGGGGGGGTGCCCTTATGGTTTAGGGTTTAAAGTTTAGGGTTGAAGGTTTAAGGTTGAGGGTTTAAGGTTGAGGGTTTAGGCTTATACTACGGGGGCACATTAGGAAATCCTAAGCCCTAAACCCTAAACCCTAAACCATGTGCCTGCGCCGCACTGGGAGATGCCCAAAATAACTGTAGGGCTTGGTGTTTACGACTGCGGTTTAGGGTTCAGGGTTCAGGGTTCAGGGTTCAGGGTTCAGGGTTCAGGGTTTAGGGTTTAGGGTTTAGGGCATGTCCAGAGAACATAGAACACTGGCTCTACACAGAGGCCTCGAGAGCTTCTAAGCCCACTTAAGTGGGTAGTAGTTCGCGAATCATAGTGAGATCCTGATACCCAAACCCTAAACCCTAAACCCTAAACCCTAAACCTTAAACCCTTTTAGCCTAAACCCTAAGCCCTAAGACCGGAAGGTCTGAATGGGGGGCGGGGGGGGAGGGGGGGACGGGGGGGGGGGGCTCCTCGACGTAGTAGTCCACGGTGAGGAGCCAGGGCGCTTTGTGCAGGTCGGGTTGGGCGGAGGCGCCAGCACCCATCTGCCAGCTGTCATTCTCAAACTCTGCAAAAGACATTCCTAATAAGCTGAAGCATTGAATTATATGGATGAGAGCAGAGGGTTTAGGGCTTAGGGTCTAGAGATTAGGGGGTCTAGGGGTTAGAGACTACGGTGAGAGTGCGTGGGCAGCATGGGGGAGGGTCAAGGGGTCTAGCTCGTCAGGGTCCGGATGTGGGGCGTTAGAAGTCCAAAAAAGCCCTGAAACTCAAGCCCGGGGCCTTAAAACCCTAATCCCCTAAACCCCTACACCCCCTAATCCCCTAATCCCCTAATCCCCTAAACCCCTAAACCCCTAAACCCCTAATCCCCTAATTAAACCCCTAAACCCCCTAATCCCCTAATCCCCTAAACCCCTAAACCCCCCAAAAAACCCTAAACGCCACCTGCCTGATCGTAGAAGATGACCTCCCTGCCACGGCACGCCTGGTCCACGGGGGCTGATCTGTGTTTTGAGGCCCTTGAAAACATCCAGAAGCCTGTCCCTAGCGGGATTTAGGGATTTGGGCTAGGGTTTACGGTTTAGTGCTTAGGGTTTAGGGTTTACTGCTTCCTTGTTGAGGTCGTATTAAACATGATCATTTTTATTCCTTATTGGGGATTCAATATCATAAAAGTGTAAAGTCTTAGCCAACCGGGACCCAGAAACCCCTTAGGTCACCATACCCAACCCATACCCCTTGACCTGTAAAAGGAACAAATCAGGGAGTCTCAGGGAGGATTGTACCGTGAAATTTGATTCAAGGGTAAGCCCAAGGAATATGTTGAATATTTCTTCAACCAAAACCCCTATAAACTCCTAAACCCCTGTAAGCTCCTCAAGCGCTAAACAAGCCCCGAGCCCTGAAACTCCGACATCCCGAGAACTTGAACCCTTTTTGCTTATTTTACTTTTCTTTGGGGGGGGGGGGGTGGTAGGAGTTGGGGAGACTTTCTAGGGGTTGAGCAAGTATACCCCCTGTATGAGTTGAGGAGACTTTCTAGGGAGCAGGTATACTGACTCCGACTCTCCTGCTATAAAGCAGGGTTAAACTCAAGCAGCTAACGCTAGCCTTTGATGATTGCAAAGTCACGCAACTGGCACATGAAATGCACCTGCAGCGACAAGACTTCACGGTGTTTTGCTTGCAGACGTGCATGACATATAGCTCTGTTCAACATCGCTGCCGCTAGCGTGGCGGCCTGCAAGCAAACAGTAACTTAACAATGTTGTGGTGGCCCTTCCGCTGGGCTTTCATCAAGGGCGTTGTCCCATCGCGGTCACTCTTTTGCCAATCAGCACCTGCCTGCAGCAGCACGCGCGCAACATCCTCCCTGCCGTTGAAGCACGCTTGCCAAAAAGCAGTTCGGCCGTTGATGCCCTGACCATCGACTCGGGCGCCAGCCTCCAGCAAAAGGCGCACCATCGCAACGGAGCCAGCACCATGACGACTCGCTACAGCCAGAGGTGTGGCTCCATGTGATCGGTCGGCCAGGTTGACGTCCGCTCCAGCCCTGAGCAGCATGCGAGTGATCTCCATGTGGCCGCCGGCACAAGCGACAGTAAGCGGGGTGAGGCCATTGCAGCCAGTGTCCGGCGCAGCAGATGCCTCCAGCAATAAACGAACAATCTGGATGTGGCCATTCGCACAGGCAAGCTGCAAAGGGAGCCTGCGAGTACCCTTTTCAGCCAAGTTCGGGTCTTGGGGTCGCAGCAGGATTCTTTCAACAGTTGGGGCGTCACCGACATCTGACGCCCTCACCAACTCAGCCACTTCTTCTGCCGAAGCCTCGTGAAAGCACAAGAGAACATGCTGCAAGTCGATCGTTCGACCCTGCAGAGAATCACGATCCTCCAGCTGCGTGCCTTGGTGTAGGAGCCTCTGCCTGAATCGAGGTAACCCGCAAAAACTTTGAAGATGTCGCTTCAAGGCTCGGACGTCTGTGAGCTCGTCTGGATGCAATGCTGCCACCTCCTCCCCAGAAAGCTTCTGCACGTGCAACTTCGTGGTAAGGAAAGCAAGGGCGTGCTTCCGCTTCATTCCTTTTGCAACCATGGCCAATAGCATCAGCAACAACAGATATACTTGAGCCTGAAGCTGCACAACGCTCCTTGTAACCCTAAACCCTAAACCATGACTGATGAAACACAAGTGCTTATGACATGCGCATTCAGAGCTGCTTCCCGTGTGGATGCAGCATGTTGCAATGAAAGCCTTGCTCTAGGGTTCCATGTATGCGCCCTTAATTTGGATCCCTTTACACCATGTATAACAAGGGCGCATACTTCGGATCCCTATAAACAAGGGTCAAGGACCATACCAAGGCCCCATGGCTCCAACCTTAGACTTGTGGAGCAGTCTGGAAACCCTAAACCCTAAATCCCTAAACCCTGCAAACCCTAAACCCGAAACCCCGAACCCGAAACCCCAAACCCAAACCCCAAAACCCAAAAAACCCAAAAACCCAAAACCCTAGACCCTAAACCGGGCTAATGTGGGGGGGGGGGGGGGACTCAGGTGTGGGATGGTCGCCCCTAAGCCCTGATACCGCAAGCCAGGATCCTGGATCCTGGGTCTAGCTTAGGGAACAAGGGTTTAGGGTTTAGGGTTCAGGGTTCAGGGTTTAGGGTTTAGGGAATATCGGGAATATTCCTCAGGGATATTCTGGAAGATGTAGGTATCGGTCGCGCCACCCTAAATCCTCAACCCTAAACCCTAAACCCTAAACCCTACACCCTGAACCCTAAACCCCAAACCCCAAACCCCAAACCCTAAACCCTAAACCCTGAACCCTAAACCCTAAACCCTGAACGCTGCCTGCTGCTTGAGGGGCAGCATGTAGTTGTGGCCAAAGCCAGGACCTCCATGCACCATCAGAAGCGGGAGCTTCTGGGGTACCTCGGCTCGTGGCTTTATAAGGGCTAGGGTTTAGGGTTTAGGGTTTAGGGTTTAGGGTTTAGGGTTTAGGGTTTAGGGTTTGGGGTTTAGGGTTTAGGGGTTCAGTTCACAGGCTTTCAGGGTCGAGGGGCGTGGAATTCTGAGCGTAAGGTCTCGGGTAGTGGAGTGTAGGGCTTCGAGCGGTGGAGTGTATGGTTTTGGCGGTTTAGGGCTTCTCGGGCTCGCAGAAAGGCCCCCCCTATGGGCCCTGGAGACCCTTCCTCCCAGGAGGTGGAGGTTGGCATTCTTGGAGATTCATGGCCTAGGTTTTCGGGCTGAAGTGCCAGGAACGGCTGGTTACAACTGCGCCCCTAAAACCCCGAACCCTAAAAAACCCTGAGCCAAGTACGGTATCTGTCATATTATTTCTTCCGTGTTTTCGCACTGTTCTGGGGCTTGAGGTGTGTGGTTTCGGTTCAGCGGTGTAGGGCTACTTCGGGATGCTTAAGAGTTCGGCTTTAGGGTTGCTCGTGGCTTAAATGCACATCCGTCTCGTGTGACATTCTTAAACAAACCATTCACACCATTTACTCATGCACGACCCGGCATATTTAAGGTTTCTGGTTCAAAGTTGCTTTACTTAATTTGAGCAATCGCAATCCAAAACGACGTCGGGGGCTTTCAAGGACCTATCAAGAAACTTGGTTCAAAAGACAGTACTAAGGACCCTACAAGCCTTATAACCCATTGAAACCAACCTCCCCACCCCCCTCACCCACCCAACCCCTTGTTCTTGTGTCGTTTAGCAGCTGGAGCGCCTGTATCCCACATACTCACTTGGAGGTTCAGGGTATTTACGAACACACCCCAATTATAACCCCTCTGGGGTACTTAAGGGGCTTATATGTGGGTCATAACTACACGTTTTACGGGATACCCTAACCCCTAAACCCAAAACCCAAGACCCTAAACCCTTAGAATGGGTCACTAAGTACCCTGAACCTCCAAGCAGGGAAGTCGGCGACGGTTTGCATCGTGCTGTGGTGCTTGACTGACCATCGCCATCGGGCTTACCATCATTCTCAAACCATACCCTAAGCCCTAAGCCCTAAGCCCTAAGCCCTAAGCCCTAAACCCTAAACCCTAAACCCTAAACCCTAAACCCTAAATACCCTAAATACCCTAAACCCTAAATTTAGACCCTAAACCCTAAACGCTAAACACCCAACATCGCTTGTGACGCGAGTTCGCCTGCTTGCAACCAATGTGAACTCTACTTGGAGCTTCAGGGTACTTGTTCAGGATACTTGGAAACCCATGATAAGTGTAAAAAAAGGGTTAGGGCCGGTTAGGGGTTAGGGTTTAGGGTTTAGGGTTCAGGGTTTAGGGTAGCCCTTGCAAGTGCAGCTATAACCCACATATAAGCCTCTTAAGTATCCAAATGGGGTTATAACTGGGTTAGAAGTACATTTGTAATTGAGTTCCTAAGTGTCCTGAACCTCCAAGTGCCCACGAAGCTGCAAGTAGGGGTCTAGGATGGCGGTAAACACCCTCTGAAAAATATTCCTAAACATAGTCCTCAGAAAACCCAATAAGGGGAAGTATTGACTATCCCAAAGAAAAAGAAATTAATTAAAACAATAAACCCTGCACCTGTCCATCAAACCCTGCGCCCTAAACCCTAACCCCCAAACCGGGTTTCGGGCCCTAAGCCCTAAACCCTAAACCCCAAACCCCAAACCCTAAACCCTAAACCTAAAACTTGTATGCCCCTGGCTGGTTTCTCCCCACGGCGGGAGTAGCGCCAGTAGGCGAGCCGCAGACCCCTCACCTGAATCGCAGCTAGGGTTTTTGGGTTTAGGGTTTAGGGTTTAGGGCTTAGGGTTTAGGGTTTAGGGTTTAGGGTTTAGGGTTTAGGGTTTAGGGTTTAGGGTGTGTATAGTGCTTCGGGCAGGATGGTTGTAGCTAATGTTAGGTATATCGGTATGACAGTACCGGAGGTACGTGCAAGCTGACTTCGAACTACCCCGGACCCTCCAATAGCCCTTATTACGTGAGCTAGGGGGAGCTAGGGTGTGGGTAACACAGGGTTACGGGTTTAGGGTTTAGGGTATACTTCAAGGTATCATAGAAAACAAAGAAACCCTAACCCCCCTCCCTCCCTAAACCCTAAACCCTAAACCCTAAACCCTAAAACCTAAACCCTAAACCCTAAACCCTAAACCCTAAACCCTAAACCCTAAACCCTAGACCCTAAACCCTAAACCCTAAAACCTAAACCCGAAACCCGAAACCCTAACCCCCCTCCCTCCCCCCCCCCCCAAAAAAAAAACAATATGTACATAAAAAAATAAAGAACCCAACAAGCTCGGAGAGCCTGGATGGTGCCGGTAACCCTAAACCCTAAACCCCCCCCCCTCCCTAAACCCTAAACCCTAAACCCTAAACCCTAAACCCTAAACCCTAAACTCTAAACTCTAAACCCTAAACCCTAAACCCTAAACCCTAAACGCAACAAGCTCGGAGGGCCTGGATGGTGCCGGGAACCACCTCTAGATCACAGAGGTCCGGGAAGGCGTAGCGAAGCAGGGCATCGCAACTCAGCTCGGCGCGCTCTGGGTCGATCTCCACCTCTTCACAAGACAGGGTTTAGGGTTTAGGGTTAGGGTTTAGGGTTTAGGGTTTAGGGTTTAGGGTTTAGGGTTTAGGGTTTAGGGTTTAGGGTTTAGGGTTTAGGGTTTAGGGTTTAGGGTTTAAGGTTTAAGGTTTAGGGTTTAGGGTTTAGGGTTTAAGGTTTTAGGGTTTAGGGTTCAGGGTGTAGGGTTTAGGGCTTAGGGTTTAGGTTTTGTATCCCTAATAGCCTAAGGGTGCATGGACCCTCAGGGTCGGAACCCTAGCAAACATGGTAGTTTTAGCTGTTACTTACAAAATTATTCCCCAGCATCCCTAAGTTCATGCCCCGAAAACACCCAGAACCTCATAGGGGTTTAGGGGGTTTGGGGTTTTGGGGTTTGGGGTTTAGGGTTCAGGGCTACCATACCCTTAGAATAACATGTTGAGGGTACGACCGGGGGTCCTAACCCCTCACCCTACCCCCAACACTCAAAGCCCTGCAGCCCTGAAGCACTTCAAACCCTCAAGTTTCCCTAAACCCTAACCCTAAACCCTAAACCTTAAACCTTAAACCTACACCCTAAACCCTAAACCATCCTAAAAGCCCTCAACCCCAAAACTTCACCGTGGAAACGCAACTCGCCACGCCACCCTAAACCCTATAAACCCTACAAAGCCCATAAAGCCTAAAAAGCCTATAAACCCTATAAACCCTATAAAGCCTATAAAGCCCATAAACCCTACACATAAAGCTTAAAAGCCTGTAAACCTTTTTCCTTTCCTTTCCTGTGCTTGCAGCGTCAGCTGGTGCTGGCCAAAAACGGGTACAAAGCCCATAAGCCCTATAAACCCTATAAAACCTACAAAACCCGAAGACCAACCAGCTTCGCTTCCGAAACCTCCGTCGACGCGGCGCCGGCCAGCAGCCCGAAAACCAGGGCGAGCATGGCCATGGCTCTGGGCGTTGTTGTCCGTATGTATGCATGCTCTCTCTTCTTTTTTGTTTTTTGTTTAGTTTGTTGATTCTCGTTTTTTTTTTGTTTTTTTTTTTTTTTTTTTGGGGGGGGGGGTGGTGTTGAGGTTCAAGGTTTAGGGTTTAGGTGTCTTGTGTCCGGGATTTAGGGTTTAGGGGGGTTTGTTCGGGTCGAGGCTTGCTTATGCGGTGTGTGGCTGAGCTTGGGGTTTAGGCCTTATAGAGCCAAGAACTCTCCAAGAGACTCAAATGACCACATGATCGAGGAATCCCCCAATAGATCCCCATGATTCTTGTGCTTGAAACGGAAGATTCACTATACAGGCCCTACAAACCCTCAGCCCCGGTACTTCAGGAGAATTGGGGCTCTCTATGTCTCGGCTTTTTCCCGCAAGAAAGCTGTAGGAAATGGCGCGTGTCCCACACGTTAGCTGGCTGCGAGCTCCACTTGTCAGAGGCTTGCAGAGTTAGGGCCTCGCTGGCTCCGTGGCACTTGGCAGCCTCACTTGCGGACAATGTGACCTCAGAGTCCTCGCCTTGCAGCCGAAACTGCGATAGAGCAGCAAGGCGAGGTTACATCCTGAGATCGGTCGGAAGCTGGAGTCGTGTGCTTCAAAGGCCTTCTTAGCCATTGCTGCCCCAAAGCCGCCTGGAAATGAGATCAGCAGAGGCTGTGTTCTTTTTTGGGAGGGGGGGGAGCCGATCATCGACAAGGCCCCGTCACGAGCGCCGCATCGGCGTCCCTCCGAATCTGAGATTTCACCCTGGAGACTCTGTGAGTTGATCTACTTAGGTGCTGAGTTCCCTTGGTGAAAAAGGTTATCCTTTGCTTTTAAAGAGGTTTTTATACTACCCCAAAAGGTTGCAGGTTACCCACCCAGCACCTAAGTCTATCAAACCATGGTGGGGAATAGCTCACCTTGATCCTGGCTCTGATGCAAAACATGGCGGCTGAGTTGCCTGGACCTATAGGGGTTATTTGGGGGTGCCGATTTTCTGAAGAGATCAAGAACCCTACCCCAATGACTACCGAGAAGCACCTCCCCCAGAAGCTTTTGTAGCGGAATGGGCTCAAATTTGCTGCCCGTGTCACGGCTTCCGGGCCTCTAAAGGCCCACCACCTAGTCTTGGCTTTGGGCTTTGGGAGTCCCAATTGGGATTCCACAAGCCTGCTCCCAGGGTTCCCGAAACAAACCCCACAAGTGCAAGTGGGTCCCCTTTTGGGATCCGCTTTTAAAACGTGCCGCCTGCTAATGGGTACCCCAAAAAAATACTCAAGTGGTTAAGGGTCGTCTGCAGCCCCATCCGTCGTTCGAAGCTGTAGCAGGCGAGGTGGGGCAGCAAGGGCAACTTTTATGGACTCCGGGCGTCTGGGCTTTCTGAGGGCACCGGTACCCGAATGCTCGGCCCAAGATCCATGCAGCTTGCGGCTCATATCAGCTTCTACTCTGAGCAAACCCCGGAAACCCGGCAGTCACCAAGCATTCTAGAACCCCAGCCTCTTGACCCTTGAGGCCTCTAGGGTTTAGGGTTTAGGGGTTTAGGGTTTAGGGCTACGCCCATGAACCATCAGAAGCCCATGGAAGAAGCCGCAAAGCAGCGGGGAGTCAGCGAAGTGCGCTGGAACGGCGCTGAGAGATTTTAGGTCTGCGGTTTGCTCGCACCAGGCAAAGCTGAGGCAGAAGCGTGTGACAGCTGGCGCATGGACAGAGCTGGATGAGGGCTCTTGACATAGGGCTTGTAGTAGTTCTACATCATAGGATGCATGCACGGAAGTGCAGACAAGGGTTTGGGGTTGTAGGCCTTGGTGATAGCTGGCGCTTCTTTCAGAGAGTTGGAAACGGACCTTCAAGTCTACGGAAACCCAAGCCCGAAGCATCGAATCCTACAACCGGGCGCATCTGTTCAGCGGTCTTGGTAGCTGGTACCCTCGCGAAGCTCTTGCAAGAGCCGCCCACGCGCTAGACACCACAAGACCATGAGAGCGCGCGGCCGCTTCCAGCCTTTAGGGCGTCTGGCTTATGGGTGGGCTTATCAAACTCCTATAAAGTGCATGCACGGAAGCCCGGAGATGTGTCGTTGCAGAGCCGCCGTGGTAGCAGGCCTTTCTGACCAGCAGCATTAAGTTGGATCTTCTGCAGAAACTGCCGGATGCAGACTTTTTTTACCCAAAACCGAAGCCCTAGAAAGCATGGTGCCCCCCTCGTCCTCCACCCACTACCCACCAGAATCCCCCAAGAAGTTGATGGTTTTGGGGACTACCTGTCCCCTAAGGCTCCCAAGAGCCCAAAGTGGGACTAGCGCGAATCGGCCTCACAGCCTTAGACCCCGCCCAAGGAGGCAGCATTTGCACACTTGCGCAGTTTTCAAAGGGGCGCCCCACACAATGGACCTCAAGGAGCAAGAGCTCGGAAGTCGCGAGCTTCAAGCCTGTGCTCTCAGCCTATGAGAGGGTCTCTTCCAGCCTCAAACCTGAGCTGCGGGACCGTTGCCCCTGAGAGGAAGATGTGGACTCCATCAAGTTGTTCGGCAGCGTGCAACACAGAGCCAAGCTGACTTTGGGTAGAAGACTGAGATGTGGAGATGTAAAATTCTGGACACTCTGCCATCAGAAGTCCGTCTAAAGAGGAAGCCTATAGCTTGCTTGGGCTCAGCGTGCGCGCGGAAGTCGGCGGGTCAGGCTGGGACGACACGCACCCTCCACCAGTTCCCTGAAGCTTCAGCAGCCACAAGGTGGTGGTGTTCTGGAGTTTATCAGGAGGGACTTCTGGTTGCAGCTAGATGCCTTGCACCATCTCGGCAAGGCATGGCAGGAGGACGGAACCTCCCCTAATACCCGAAGCCCTAAACTCTCAGCCCACCGGGCTTTTGGCTGAATCAGGGGCCGAGGCCAAGCAAGCATCCCTAGCAGAGGCATCCGGTGCTGAGGCCAGGCAAGCATCCCTAGAAACTGACAGCAGTGGTTTGAAGCCAAGACTCACCTCGGCCCAAGATGCACAACTCGCAACCCCGACCCCAAAGCCTAGCTTCCATCTTCTGTCGTTCAGCGCCAGGGTGATAACCCTAAACCCTAAACCTAAACCCTAAACCCAAAAACCCTGCTGGTTTGAAGGGGCGCGGAACAGGGCACGGGCCACGGAGTCATGGTTGGCGGCCCTTGGGTGTAGTCCGTGCACGCTGAGCTCACTCGAAGAGGGGTGGGCTCGGCCTTCCCCCTAAACAGGGTTTATAGGGTTTAGGGTTTAGGCTTCGCCCCCAAGGCAGTTATGTCGACGAAGCGCTCAGGGAAGGCCAAACACTTGGAGGGAGTTCCGGGTAATCCCACTGGCTTCAGTCTCTAGCAGAAGAAGGTTAGAACTGTTGGGTTTGGGGGGGGTGCAATTCAAGGGGTACCTGACTTATCAAGGCCCCTAAGCCCCACACGAGAAACCCTATACTCAGCCACGAAGATGCTCGGCAGGGTATCAGGGCTTGGTCAGGCTTCATCCGAGTCCGAACTGGCCCAAGTACCTTTTAAGAGAGTTTTTGGGCCCCCAAGTGCTTGCTGTTTCGGGGTCTTGGTTGCTTAGGATACCTTTGGGATAGGGAGCCTAGCTAGCTCTCAACAAGTTGCTGTGACCAGGAGAGCTGTGAAAAACGAACGGGTAGCTCTCACCACGTAGGATGTGGTTGCGGGTGGCCTTAAGTTGCAAGGGCAGGGACTTCACGGCAGCGGGTGGAGAGAAACAAGGCCTCCTTGCGAAATTCTCAGCTTGAACAGGAACATGGGAGGGACCCTCCCTAGAGGACCCAAACCTCACCAAGCTCATATCACTACTCCAAGAGGGGCGAGCAAGGTGCCTCAGATGCATCTGCGAAGGCTCTTGAGCACGGTTCAGGCCTGCCCCCTTCAACCTGAACCCCTTGAGATTATTGACATGCACCCCTCCAAAGCCCCCAAGATCTCAGGACAAATAGACCCCTCGAAAGCCCAATCCCCAAATGCCCCCGAAGCCCAAATGCTCTCATGACGCCCAGCTCGAGGGATATTGGGGGGGGGGGGCTGAGAGTGGGGCGTCTTGCTGACAGCAGCTCCTGGACCTATACGCTGCGTGGGCAACGGAGCTTCTTACGACTCCGGAGGGCTTCAAGGGCTCTGCGGCTGGACGGCTGCAACTGTGGGTGGAACTTCCCTTTGCAGGTATCACATGGTGGGGTCGCCCCACCCTGCAAGCATGGGTAGAAGGACTGCTAGCGAGTTTGGCAGGAGGGATCAGGGCATCCTGAGGAAGCAAAACAAGCCCCCCGGAGATGCTCCCTTGAGGGAAGAATTGTCTGAAGGGGGGGGACAAGCAAGTGGCTCAGGGATGCCATTCAACAGGATCGCGCTGCTGCAGGAGAGAACAGCTAGTCTCAAAAACGGCTAGTTTCCAAAATCAGCGCAACATTAAGCTCAGACTCAAAGGTTTCCTGCCTTCTCTCCTGGGCAAACTTGAAGGGCCCATTTTGGGCGGGCCTTCGGGGTGCTAGTCTAGTGCCTCATCGCACGCAGAGAGGCTGTGAGGCGCTTTCACCCTAAACCCTAAACCCTAAACCCTAAACCCTAAACCCTAAACCCTAAACCCTAAACCCTAAACCCTAAACCCTAAACCCTAAACCCTACAGGGCAGCAGGCACTCTGCGGGTTTAGCAAAGGCCTGTGGGCGTGCAAGATGTTGGGCGGGTCTTGACGGAATTCCCTTGCACCAAGCCCATGAATGGCTCGGGCTTTAGGGGTGTTATACCGCAAAAGCCCCAGAGGGCTATACATCGTTGGGGAGTTAGGGCCTCCGCGGAAGGCATTGAGCCTTTAAGCCCTGCCCAGGGGGCCATTTTTTGGGATGAAAGGCAGGAGCCTCAAGATTCACAACCCGACATTTCAAACCCTAAACCCTAAAAGCCCTAAACCCTAGCAGTTTTTGGCAGGGCGGGGGCTTCCGGGATCGAGGATGCTTCCGATTT